CATCCTGGCCACCTCCTTCTCCCCCCCTCATCCTCCTCCTCCTCCTCCTCCTCCCCCGCCTCCTGGTTCCCCTCATCTTTGGCGCCGGTCTCGCCGTCGTCCTCTTCCTCCTCCTTCGGCGCATGCTTTCCCCTGTCCTCCCTCTGCTCCTCCCCCCCCTCCTCCCCCTCCTTCTCCTCCTCCTCTTCCTCCTCCTCCTCCTCTTCCTCCTCATCCCCCATCCCCCTCCAAATTTTCTGGCCGCGCTCAACGGTCGAACTTTGCCGATGTGGCGCGCCATGGTTTGGATGGCACTGACAGGGTATATGGTCGTAGACGCAACTGTGTTTTGATGATCGATTTTTTTGATGGCGTGGTGTTTTTTTTTTATTTTTTTTTAGGTGCTCTGTGATTTTTTTCCGTGCGTCTGTGGTCATTCCTAGAGATAGCACCACAAACGGGTCCTGAAACCACCTAACACATGCCAGTAGCCGTGGTGGAGCTACGTTGTCCATGCGGGCGGTGCTACTGGCCAGGACCAGAAGGGGATCGCAGAAGAACAGCAAAAGATCTTACAAACGTCAAACTTTTGGAGGTCTGGGCGGGTTTCTCGGATCGAGGAGGATCGAGGAGTATCGAGGAGGCGGCGGGGGGAACTGCACCAACCCGCGCCGCAGGAGGCCGCCGCGGCGCGCCCGCTCCTCGGCCGACGCGCACGCGCAGGCGCGGAGAGAGAGACCATCGCCTGGCAGCACCCGCGCGGAGAGGGCGGCGGGCGGCGCTCCGAGTAGGCGGTGTACGCCACGGGGGGGCGAAGAGCCCAGACCCCCCTGGAGCCGTGAGGAGGACACGACAGAAGGAGCGCAACAACGACGACGACGACGACGACGACGACGACGACGGAAATGTTGTCGCTATTTTCGGCCTCTGGGGGTCCTCACAGGGTCGCGGGACCGTCAGGGACCGACTCGGGACGGACAAAAAGGAAAACGGTCCCTGGGAATGGGTCGAGCCCATGGGGGCCTCTCGTGCCCCTGATGGCCCCCTTCAGGGCCCCTGAGGGGCACCTCCTCTTCATCCCACCCCGTTTCTGAAGACGAAGCCAGGACGAGGAAAATCCGGGTGAAAATAAATCGAGGATCACTGAGATCCAGCGGCTCTGGAGGACGTCTCGGGCGCCGCGGCCTTCTCAGAGCGCTTCCGGAACGCTCTGAGAGAGCTCCGGAACGCTCTGGAACGGCTACTTCTCCTTCAAGCCCCGTCTGCTATTCATCGCCCCCCCGTTCATCGCAACGCCCGGCGCGAGGGGGGCGGCCACCCGCCGGCCGCTCGGGGGCCGGGGGGGGGGGCGCACGTCGCGGGGGCGGGTCGGAGGCGCGCCCGAGGCGACCTCCGGCGCCTCGACCGCATCGAGACGGAGGCCTAGGCACCGTCGCCGGCCTCATGGGGGGGCCTCGCGGGACCGTCGCCGTGAACGGCTCGAGCAGAGCAACCGGTCCCGGGGCAGTGGTCGGGGGCTCGGGGGCGGCCGTGTCTCGAGAAGCTCGAGGCGCCGGATGTTTGGATCGCTTGCTTGGGTCGCTGGCGCGCCCAATGGGGGTGGCACGAGGGGTGGCGAAGGCTTCGGGCTCCGCACAGGCGGGCCCCCTATAGGTACTCCCGGCTGGCCTCAACAGGGCCCCTGGAGTAGTCGCAGCTGGCCTCAACAGGCCCACGAGTAGCCCGGGCCGGCCTCGTCACCCTGGCGCCGCCTCCGGCAGCGCCGCAAGGGTGGGGTGTTGAGACCGCCACCGGCTACTCGAAGGGTCTGTCGAAGCCAGAGATGAGTCTATCTGCCAGGAGGGCTGTGGAGGCCAGCGGGCACTACCTGGGAGGGCTGTGCGCAACCCGAAGCTCCACCAGCGAAGCAGGCGGCCTCCTGAGAAGAGCCGGGGCGGCTCCTGAGCAGCCTTCCTGGAAGCGTCCGAGGCCCTCTGAGCAGGCCCCTGCCTTCTGAGGCGCCCCTTCGGTCCTCAGGAGGCCACGCTCCTCGCGCGCCCTGGCCGCGGGCTGCATCGCAGGGAGAGGGGTGCGGGGCAACGCAAGGCAAGATGACGATTAAGAAAGAATGCAGGGGGAACGATGAACAACACAATGTGCGAATCTTTGGCTTCCGCTTCGCTTCAGCTCCGTCTGGCCCGTCGACCGTCCAGGCGTGCGCCCGAGGCAGGCGGGAAAAACGATCACATAATGAGTGGCTTCCTGGCCGGGGGGCCGTTCTTCTAATCATCATCCCGGGCGCCGCCGCGTGAACACGACCCCTGGTAGTCTCCTAATCATCATCCTGTATCAAAAAGGGGGGGACCCGCTCAGGGGAGGGGGACATCGAACCAGAGTCGGCGATACGTCGCCGAGATGGGCCTGAGCGAGGCCGGACGCTCTCCTGGGCGGGGTGGGCTGTCGGGCCCGCAGCGCCATCCATGTGTGGGCGAGCCTGGGGGCTGATCTGGTCCCTCCTGAGCCTCGCCCCCCCCTACTGACTGGTGCCCCCGAGGGGAGGCCCTGCAGCGCGGGCTACCTGGGGAAGAACCGCGACTTGGTCACAGGGGGGCGGCTGGCCCTGCCGCCGGGCTTGGCCGGCGACGGCGGCCCGGGCGTCCTCTCGGGCGGCGGGAACGCAGCCACGTGGGAGTGGGCGGGCGCCTCCCGGGCGGCCCTCCGCACGGGGCGCCCGAGCACGCGCCGGCACGCCTGGCCAGGGCCGCGCCGTGCCCCAACTGAACGGTACATACAGTGCCCGGATCTCCGGCGCCGCGGCTCCTGCCTGTCCGTCCGCGCGGCACGCCCGTGGCTGCAGGAGGTCGGCCGCCTCGGGGGCCGTTGCCGGGCCCCGGGGCCGTCCAGAAAAGGGGCCCCGGCGGCCAGAAAGCAAGCGCCTTCTATATGCCAGCACATCCGGCGTGGGTTGGGGCGTGGTATGCGCTATACGGCCCCCGCGGAGCCGCAGCGCAGCAGGAAGGGCCGTAACGTATAGGCGCGGGGCGGTGCCGCTTGCTTCCTGGTCGAACGACCGCACCCCCCTGGGGAAGGGGTCGGGAAACCTGAGGCCCCGGTCGAGCAGAAAACCGGACCGGCGGACGTCGGGGTGCACAGAGGCCCCGGAGGCGGAGGTCAGCGTGGATCTCTCGGGTCGGCGCTGAGCACCCCTCGCCCCCCGGAGCCCAGGGGCTGCCAGGAGTGGCCCTGGCCCCATCGCTCCCAGCTCCTGTCGGGGAGGGGGCGCCAGGATGGGGCAAGGGGCAGAGGTGGGGCTGGAAGGAACCTCGCTCCCAACGGCCCCTGGAACCTGGAAGAAAGAAACGGCTTCAACGGGAGCATCCAGCTGGGCCCGTTACCCAGCCCCACCTTGGGATAGCCCCCCTCTACGAACCCCCGATTCTGGAAAAAATTGGAGGCCTTTTGAGCCCTCTGAGTGAGACGAAACCTGGACGAGGAAAATTCGGGTGAAGATAAATAGAGAATCCCTGAGAGCCGGCGGCTCTGGAGGATGTCTCGGGCGCCGCGGCCTCCTCGGAGCGTTCCGGAACGGACTGACCCTTGTCCTAACCCCGTCGGACTGGGCTTCATGAGGGGTGCTCTGGAAGCCGTCTGCGCTTCCCTGGGAAAGCTGGGGAGGGTCACTCCTGGCCTTAGCTGCCCCGACACGCAACATGCAACACGCAGCGCGTTGACACGGAGCTCAACACGCAGGCGGAAACCGTAGGTCTGGGCGGTACGCTCGCCAACACGTGGACACGTGCCGAACCAACACGCAGCGTGTTAACACGGACAATCCGAACACGGCACGTGTTGCGTTTCAGCACGGGCGCATCAGGGCAGCAAAGCTCTTTGGCCCTCTGGGCCTCGTGAGGGCTGCTCCGGAAGCCGCCCGCGTCTCTCTGGGCAAGCCGGGGCCACTCCTGGCTCCATGGGCCCTCCATGGGCCTCGTCGGGGGTGCTCCGGAAACCACCTGCGCCTCCCTGGAAGAGCCCCGGGGAGGGTCACGCCTGGCAGCACCGGACTGGTGGGCGACGCCCGAGGCGGGCCTCGAGGCGCCGTCCGACATGGCGCGCACCGCGCGTCTGGGGGAGGGGGGGGGGGGGCGCGAGGCGGCGGCCCCGCGCCGAGAGGCCAGGACGTCCGCGCGAGCCCGCCGGCGCTCGCGATGGTGCAGCCGACCCGTACGGTAGGGATGCGCGGTGAGGATGCAAGGGCCTTGGAGGGCCATGTCCGCACTCTGCGGGCGGGGCGCGGTCAGCGAGAGCGGCCAAGGATGGGGCGAAGGGGAGGATGCAAGGGTAACTTTGGAAAGTCGCTCATCCTTACAGTGCGGCTTCTCTGTATGTTCGGCCCTGCAGTCCTGCTCGACTTCCGCGGGGTCGGTCCGAGCGGGGACGAGGTATCGCTCACGAGGGAGGAGCTGCTGTCGTCGGAGTTGCGCGAGATGGTCTTGCGCATGCTCGGGGGCCTCCTCTTCTTGTGCCCAGGAGCGGCAGTCCAGCCTTCGTTGTCCTGCGAGCGAGCATCGGTGACCATCGTTTCACCGATCCCTATCCCCACTGGCGTGGCCTTGGCCCCTCTAGCCGACTTGCCCAACCGGATGGGGAGACGTGCTGTTCCCCATGCCCACCTGGGGGTGCGAACTGGTGGGGCCGAGATACCATGGCCCAGTTTGGGCGCCCGAGTTATCCGGGGTAACTCGGGTCCGGGGTAAGTCGGGTTTGGATTCCCGAAAAAGGAACCCGAGTTATCCCTGACCCGAGTTACCCCTGATGATTCGGGGCTCTGGACGCCCGAGTTATCCGGGGTAACTCGGGTCCTGGGCAACTCGGGTTTGGATTCCCGAAAAACGAACCCGAGTTATCCCTGACCCGAGTTACCCCTGATGATTCGGGGCTCTGACCAGTGGGAATCGGGATCGGTTAGACGATCCGAATCGGGGTGGACGGGGGCGGCGGCGGTGGGGGGGGGCAGAGGTCGGCGAGCAAATCGGCTGTGCAGCCTTCGCTTGCTCTCCAGGGGCCTCGAGGCGCCGAGAGCGGCCCACGGTGGAGCCGAAACCAGCTGCGGCGCGGCAACTGCCGCAGCCCCCCTGTGCCCTCATCCTCTGGGCCGCCCGAGAGGAGAGGAGGGGAGGGGAAAGCGGGGGGGAGAGGTGGACGTGGTACAGCCCGGCCCTGGCCGTCCTGCATGAGGTGGCAGAACTCGTTGAAGTCGATCTCGCCGTCCTTGTTCTTGTCGAATATGGACACCAGGGCATCGCACTCCTCCTGGGACAGCAGGCCTATTACCTGACCGTCGCAGAGCTCTTGTGACGAGATCGAGCCGTTGCCGTCTATGTCCATGATGTTGAATGCTGCCCAGCACACGTTACGGTTGCAAGAGGCAGATCTGTCGAAAGTAGCGGCCAAGAACTCCGTGTACGTGAAGTCCTGCAGTTCAGAATCGCTGTCGTTCTTGTCCTGGTCCGCGGTCTTGAACATGGCCTCGACGTCCTGTGTGCTGCCCAGCTGCTTCAACTTATCCTTCACCTCGTTGATCGACAGGACGCCATCGCCGTTCTCGTCTAGCCAGATGAACGCCTCTCTGCACCGGCCGATGTGAGCCTCATCCAGCAAGCTCACGATCACCTGCAAAGCCGCCCTCTTGAACTTGTTCAGCGAACGGAAGCCCCGAAGGTTTTTCAGCAGGGTGGGTTCCAACAGCACCTCGGCAACTTCGGACAACCTCTGATTCGTGATGAACCAATCGTCCTGCAGCGCCTGCGTGGCGCTCACCCGGGCATCTGGGTCCATCGCCGTCAGGACTTTCACTATCCGCATGCCGGCCTCGGAGACCTCCAGCCAATCGGAGGAGTTGAAGATGATCTTCCCCTCCGCAACCTTCTTGCGGATGTCCTCGTCGGTCTTGCCCCTGAAGGGCGCATAGCCACAGATAAGGGCGTACATCGTGATGCCGGAGCTCCAGACGTCGCATCCCTCGTCGTACCGCCTGTTGAGCACCTCCGGGGCCATGAAGGCAGCAGTGCCCACCCTCGCCTTCAGCAGCTTCCCAGGGCGGATGATGCACGAGAGGCCGAAGTCGCACAGCCTCAGGCTGTTGGCCTCGACCTGGCCAGAAGACGGCTGCAGGAGCAGGCAGTTCGCGGGCTTGATGTCGCGGTGGACGATGCAGCGAGAATGCAGGTAAGAGACGGACTGCATCAGCTGCTTCATGACCTTCACGGCGATGCCCTCCTTGAGCGGGCCCCACGAGCGCACGTAGTCCCTGAAAGACCCCCCAGAGCACAGCTCGAAGACGAGGTGCAGGTAGCGGGGGTCCTCGAAGATCTCGTAGAGCCTGACCACGTAGGGATGATCACATGACGGCTCTTCTTTCCTCCCCGGCTCCCAGGGCCCAGGGAACGGTCGTTACCCGGGGGGGGGAGGGGTTTGGGCGGGAGGGTAACGGCAATGGCGGCCGCGGCGTGCACCCGCCAGGGTGCGTCCTCGCCACCAGCGCACCAATCGCCTGCGTGCACACCACAGCGTGCAGGAGGGGCAGGCCTCCCCCTAAATACGATCGTTTGCGTTACCTGGCGATCAAATACGAATCGGACTGGATGAGATTGGCAGCCAAGTCGGGAAAAGTCGAATCGGCGGATATCGGCAGGCTAATATGCCTCTATTGAGAAATCTTAGCACGAATCGGAATCCGAAATCGAATCGAATCGGACTCGGAAGTCATCGAAATCGAATCGAATCGAAGGAATCGAAATGGTCCCTGAGCCTGACAATGTTGGGATGATCCACAAGCTTCAGGATCTCGATCTCCTGCTTCAAGATCGACCCCTTCGCGTTCGCCTTGAGCACGCTCTTCACCGCGCGGACCGCCCCGGTCGCCCTCACGGTCGCTCTCCGAACGGCCCCGTAGGCGCCCTTCCCTATCTCGCGCTCCGCGACGGAGTAGCTGGCGTCGATGCTGTTGTGGTTCTCGATCATGACCTGCTGTGAGCTTCGCTGCTCGGATGCGCAACACGCAATGCGTAGCGCATTGATACGGAACTCAACGCGTAGACTGAAAACATACGTCTGACGCGATACGTTCGCCAGAACGTGGGCAAAAATTTTGAGGCACCACGCAACGTATCGGCACGGACGCTTTGCGCACGGTGCGTGTTGCGTATCGAAACGGGCGTATCGAGGCAGCTAAGCCTCGCTAAAGCCATCAGCCCAACGCAGCCCACCCCCCTCCGTCTCCCTCAGGGGACAGGGAGGGAGGATGGTGCTGGACTCGCCCGAAGAGCAGGAGTTTCCGGCAGCCTGCATGCTCATGGAGGGCCTCGGCTCCTGGGGAAACCACAAGGCTAAAATATCGATACTGCTGCTCCGCGGACCTCTCCTGGGGTGCGTTCTGACCAGAATCCCGAGGCAAATCCTGCCATGGCAACGGGGAACTCCCAGGAGCCCAACAGAGGCGAACACGAGGGCCAGGGTGGCAATATCGGTACCAGGCCTACTAGATGGTGTCCGAGTAGATGATGTCGGAAGATCGCGCCGCATCGCCGATTCATCGGCCATGCATCGGCGACGTCGGCGCTGCATCGGCGACGCCGGCGCGGAGAAAATCGGGCTCCACATCGAGCCGCATCGCCGATGCATCGGCGACGCGGCGCGATCCTCCGACCCTGCCTGCTCGGACCCCACTTGGGAGGGTGAGAGGTATCTGTTCCTGCCTCCCGACTCCATCGTCTCCATCAGCAGGAGGGGCTGCAGGAGAGGCTGCTCCGGCTCCTGCTCCGGCTCCGCGGCATCCCCCCCGAAGGATGCCATCCTCGCGGGCGGCGGCGCGCGCGCCGTGGAGGCCGCGCCGCCGCGGAACAGGCTGGCCTCGTGGGAGTCCCAGATGGCGAACTGGTGGTCGGACAGGCCCCGCTCCGCGATGCCCGTGCCTGCGGGGAGGATCTGTACCCAGATCCCATGTACACATCCACCAGACTTTCTGGGAGGGGGCGCCAAAAGGCCGAGGAGCAGCAGCTCTGCACAAGCATCTGGCCTCCATGGGGCCAGAGCTCATCCATGTCCACTGCGCCCCGAGAACCTGGGGAAGGGAGCCCGAAACTCCGAGATGTGGCGGATACGGATCTGCATCTTGCCCGCAGTGCCGCCAGAGCGCTGAGAGTCGTGGGCGTCGGGACCGTGAGCGTCGGGCTCGTGAGCGTCGGGCTCGTGATCCTCCAGCTCGGCGTCGCCGGCGATCGGCCCACGAGGCGCGGGGCAGGCCACGGGCGCCGCTTGCTGCGGCAAGAGGCCCCCGGACCCCGACCGCACCATCTGCACCATCTGCCCATCTGCGGAGCCCGAGCGCAGGAGGTGTTCCTTGCTGCCGGGCCTCGACCCCCACTTCGTCACGACGAGGCGGTCCAAAATGGAGTTGCTGCGCTGCCGTGCGGCTCTCCGCTTGTGCTGGGGCAGCTCCAGCGACGTCAGCGCTTCGGTGGACCTGCTCCCGGAATTGTTCCACCTGAATGTGCTGCCCTTGCCCGCGACAGGGACGTCCGGGACGCTCGAGAACTGCGCGCGGACGTCCGCCGCCGACGCCCTCGCCTGAGAGATCGCGGGGTCCTGGGAAGACGCAGGCCAGACACGAGCACCCAGCCCTGGCCGGGCCCGTCCTGGGCTCTGGGTCGGTGCATAGGCCCTCCTGCCTCCTGGCTGTGAAGGGACAACAGGAGCTGCACAAACACAAACTCTCGGATCTCCCTCGCCGAGATCCAAGAAATCCGCGCAAAGAGCTCCGAAGGTGTGTGCTTATGCGGTGCTCCTCCTTCGAGGCTTGGCTTGGAGGCGGGCACAGAGGGGCAGGGGGAGGGGGGAGGGCTTCTCAGAAGGAAGCCGCCTCTGAGAAGGCGCCGGCCTGACATCTGCAGACGAGGCCCGCGCCTTCTGAGAAGCAGCCCCCTCATGTGAGAGGCCTTCCCCCCTCCCCCCCCCTCCGCGCGTGGCCCCTTGGCCCCGGGAGACGTGTGCGCCGACCTTGGGCCCAGGACTGGCACGGCCGAGGAGGAGGAGGAGGAGGAGGAGGAGGAGGAGGAGGAGGAGGAGGAGGAGGAGGAGGAGGAGGAGGGAGGGGGAGGAGGAGGAGGAGGAGGAGGAGGAGGAGGAGGAGGAGGAGGAGGAGGAGGAGGAGTGGGCCCGCCGAGGTCCGACACGTAGGCGCGGCCTGCGCCGCCCGAGGGTGGCAGGCCCAGCTCGCAGGAGAAGCTCAGCCACGCGGGGCTCTCGGCGTCGCCGTCCTGGGAGGCCTGCGCAAATGAGCGGCGGTCAAAAGCGGGTCCTACGCGGGATGGCATGGCGACCTTACGCTGTGGATTACGCGGGCCGCCAGCGCGTGGCACGCTATGCTGGAGAAGAAGAGGGCGCTCATGAACGACCCTACGCGGGCAGCTTACGCGCCAATGTCGGATGAGTCAAACCATGTTTTACTTGACGCCACTGCCAAGACTGGGGGCAACGGGGGTGTGAGACGCATGTTGTATGCATCCGGGTATCTCTGTGGCGATATTCGTGCTTGGATCCTCGCTGCGTCCGTGGTCCTTTTGAAAACGAGGCGTGAGGACGATGCTAGCAACCCCGCCACCCGCGCACTCCCCGCCCCCCTCCTAGTTATACTCTAGAGCTCTAAGTACTCGGCGAGACGCTGCAGCGCCCCATTTTTATCGAGCGAAGGTGCTCCACCGGCCCATTCCGACAACGCGGATACGCTCAAACACTGTATTTTTTACCGAGAAGCATGTTCGAGAAGCTCACTGCGTGTTCCAGCAAGGCATGTCTACGGAGAGTGACCGCTGCAGCAGCCAGCACTACACTTGTGCCAAGGATGTACGATCCAGCAACCCAAGGCGAGCGCTCCAGCACCACATTTTTACTGAGCAAAAGCGTTCCAGCAACTCGAGCAGCATGGGTTTGACATCGCCGTTGCCGTCATCGCCGCTGTCGCCGTTCCCGCCCTCGCCGTCGCAGCCCTCGCCCTCGCCGCCGCCACCGACATCGCTACCGTTGCCGACGCCATGGTCGTCGTCGCCGTCGCCATCGTCGTCGTGGCGCCGTCATCGTCGCCGTCTCCACCTTCGTCGTCACCACCCGCGTCGTTCTGGGGGCCTCCACTGGCGCCGTCGTGTCGTCGCCAATACCACCGCCGTCGCCACAGTCGCCGTCACCATCATCGTCGTCGCCGCCCGCGTCATCGTCGCCGACGTCGCCGTCACTGCCATCGCCACGGTCGCCGCCGTTGTCGCCGCTGGCGTCGTCGCCGCGGTCTGGCCAGAAATTATCACTAATAAGATGTTCCACTGACTGCTAGTTGCCAGAGCATTGTTACCACAACTGCTGAGATCCGGGGTCACTTCCCTGGGGGAACAATCGAATACCGATACCGTTATTCCCATGACCTCTCCTCGGGCAAATTCCGACCAGAATCTCGAGACAAATCCAGCCGTGACGACAAGAGATCTCCAGGATGAGTAATGGTCTCGGCATTTTTGCGGGGGTGGACAGAACCCCCTTTAGCAAAATACCCTTCAGTGGAAGCTGGCGAGGGCTTTCCACGTGCGCACGGCACTGCACTCTGAGTCCACCCCAGGGCAGCTCATCTTGGCCCACGAACAGGCGCAGGTGTATCCAGCGACACGCACGCCAACACCAGCGAAGCCGACCGGGGCACTCCACTGGCACACTCGAACATGCGGGCACCGAGTGCACCAGCACAGGTGTCCTCGGCCGACTTTGTCTGGGTGGGCGAGGAGGAGGAGGAGGAGGAGGAGGAGGAGGAGGAGGAGGCGGAGGAGGAGGAGGAGGAGGAGGAGGAGGAGGAGTCCTCTCCACGCCCGATCTCCTCTTCCTCTGGCCTCCTCCGGCGGGGGCGACCCCCGGCCCCCGCCCGTGCGCAGGCCCCCCCGGTGCGTCCTCGAGCGGGTCGCCGCACCGCGCCCGGCAGCTGCGGCAGGTGGCCCCGCAGCCCCGCAGCGGGCGGCACCCGCAGCACGCGCCGGGCGGGCCGTCGGCGGGCGCGCCTGGCCCCACTCCTCTTGTTTTGTTCGGCCCCATTCCTTCTCATGACGCTGCATGCTCAAACTCAGGGGAAGGATTGTGTCAGTGGGGCCAACGGTACACACTCGAGATCGTCGGGTAACCATGTACTGCAGCATCTGAGTTTCGGCGCTCTGGCGCCGGCGCCCATGCCGAAACCTTGGAGGGCCGCCCCCCGGGGCGCACATCGGCGCCTGTCGCGTCCCCCCCCCCCAGTGCAGAAAGAAAGAGAAGATGAGAGAATCGCGACGGCATGTCTTCCAGTCTTTTCAGCCTCTGTGGCGCCGCGCCGTGTGGCTCCTCGCTATGTCGTGGGTGCCCAGGCGGGCCGTCGGTCTTGCTCGCAGGCTGCCTCTGCGCGCTCGTGCGTGCAGCGTGCAGGCCCCCCTCGAGCCAGGAAGTCATCACGACGGCGACGGTTGGGCTAATTGCAGCCTCTGGGGGCCCTTGACGGGCCTCGCGATGACTGATCTACTCGGGATGAAACGCCGGTCCCCGGGGAATGGGTCGAGGTCTTTGGGGGTCGACTCTATGAACAAATCATGGTGTCGGGGGTCTGGGTCCCCAGCCAGAGGTCTGGCGACTCGATCTGTTCGGGGCACGGGCGACGAAACAGTTATCCCAGGAAAGCAACCTGACAGCGATGTGTAGGAGCATATCTGGAGGCATTCCCTTTCAGATTCAGATGAGAATCCAGTTGTTCTCGCAGTCGCAGTCGCATTCGCGATGACAGTCGCAGCGGCAACGGCAGTCGCAGTCACAGCCTCAGCCTCAGCCTCCCTCAGCATCAGCCTGCCTCAGCCTCAGCCTCAGACTGCCTCAGCCTCAGCCTCAGCCTGCTTCAGCCTCAGCCTCAGTCTGCCTTCAGCCTCGGCCTCAGCCTCAGCCTGCCTCAGCCTCAGCCTGCCTCAGCCTCAGCCTCAGCCTCAGCCTGCCTCAGCATCAGCCTGCCTCAGCCTCAGCCTCAGCCTGCCTCAGCCTCAGCCTGCCTCGGCCTCAGCCTCAGCCTCAGCCTGCCTCAGCCTCAGCCTGCAGCCTCAGCAGCCTCAGCCTCAGCCTGCAGCCTCAGCCTCAGCCTCAGCCTGCCTCATCAGCCTGCCTCAGCCTCAGCCTCAGCCTGCCTCAGCCTCAGCCTCAGCCTCAGCCTCAGTCAGCCTCGGCCTCAGCCTCAGCCTGCCTCAGCCTCAGCCTCAGCCTCAGCCTCAGCCTCAGCCTCAGCCTCAGCCTCAGCCTCAGCCTCAGCCTGCAGCCTCAGCCTCAGCCTCAGCCTCAGCCTCAGCCTCAGCCTGCCTCAGCCTCAGCCTGCAGCCAGCCTGCCTCAGCCTCAGCCTCAGCCTCAGCCTCAGCCTCAGCCTGCAGCCTCAGCCTCAGTCTGCCTTCAGCCTCGGCCTCAGCCTCAGCCTGCCTCAGCCTCAGCCTGCATCAGCCTCAGCCTCAGCCTCAGCCTGCCTCAGCATCAGCCTGCCTCAGCCTCAGCCTCAGCCTGCCTCAGCCTCAGCCTCAGCCTGCTTCAGCCTCAGCCTCAGTCTGCCTTCAGCCTCGGCCTCAGCCTCAGCCTGCCTCAGCCTCAGCCTGCATCAGCCTCAGCCTCAGCCTCAGCCTGCCTCAGCATCAGCCTGCCTCAGCCTCAGCCTCAGCCTGCCTCAGCCTCAGCCTCAGCCTGCTTCAGCCTCAGCATCAGTCTGCCTTCAGCCTCGGCCTCAGCCTGTCTCAGCCTCAGCCTGCCTCAGCCTCTCACCCTGCCTCAGCATTTAAAATGTGGCTCGGGAATGGTGTTCTGGGAACTCGAAGAACACAAAGTGGCCCACAGTTAGCTCCGGGCAGTCAAACTCATGCCCAGGAATGGGGTTCTGGGAACTCGAAGACCACGAAGTGCGTTACTGTTTGCCAAAAATGGAGTCCCCGGTTTTCCGCGGCACCCGCCCGGATCCCGCCCAGTCCCCCCTGGGGAGTCATGATGCGCTCTTTTGACCCTACTAGAAACCTATCAGTCTTCGCTGTTAGGTAAAAACGAGTCTGACAGAAGAAAGCAAAGCGAACTTACGCCGCGGCCTCGCGGCGAATGATCTACTCGGGATGAAACACTGGTCCCCGGGGAATGGGTCGAGGTCTTTGGGGGTCGACTCTATGAACAAATGATGGTGTCGGGGGTCTGGGTCCCCAGCCAGAGGTCTGGCGACTCGATCTGTTCGGGGCACGGGCGACGAAAAAAAACGAGTCTGACAGGAGAAAGCAAAACGAACTTACGCCGCGGC